TGTTGCTGCTGATCTGTTTCATGTTGCTGCTGATCTGTTTCATGTTGATGTGTTCATGCGTGCTCATCTGCTCACAGACTCATGTTCATGTTTGTGCTGATGTTCAATGTTTTATGTTATGAGTGCTTAGTGTATATTTAGTTGATGTTTTTCTTAGTTCATATCTTAGATGTTATTACTGTTTTTCTTTTACATTTTATTGTTGGATGTAACTGGGACCCTGTGTACATAATTTCGTTCCACCACATGTACCACATGAGGTGCGAATGACAATAAAGAAACTCTGACTCTTTACAAAACAATTTAAGTTCAAGGATTTTTTATTGTCACACCAGTTCACATTTGCATGTTTATGGTACAAATTTCAGACTCAAGTCCCAGATCAAGAAACCTAACAATTAACAAATAAATACAGATTTCAATTCAATTCATTTTATTTCTATAGCGCCAAATCACAACAAAGTTGTCTCAGGGACTTTACAGGAACATTCACATAAAAGCCAGTTAGTAAAGTTCTTTATCTAAGGAATCCAGCAGACAAGATGAATCTTGGCTTCATTGCAGTCTCGCATCCTGAGCAAGCACAGTGGAGACAGTGGAAAGAAAAACTCCCTTTAACAGGAAGAAACCTCCAGCAGAACCAGCTCAGGACAAGAGACCATCTGCTTTGACCGGCTGGTTGAGAGGACAGGAAGGAGAGACAGACCAACACAGAATGGTAGGTCCAGATATAGGTCCAGGTCCAGATATAGGTCCAGGTCCACATGTTAACTGAGAACTGAAAGATCTTCCTCCCATTCTGGTTTTGTAAACTCTAGGAACCACAAGTAAACCTGCAGTCTGAGAGAGAAGTGCTCTGTTAGTAAAATATGGAACAATAAGATCTGTAATATAAGATGGAGCTAGGTTGTTGAGAGCTTTGTAGGTTAGAAGTAAGATTTTGGATTCTATTCTGGACTTGACAGGGAGCCAATGGAGAGAAGCTAAAACTGGAGAGATGTGATCTCTCCCAGTAACTCCAGTTAAGACTCTGGCAGCAGCATTTTGGATCAACTGAAGACGTTTTAAAGAAGTATTTGGACACCCAGATAATAAACCATTGCAATAGTCCAGTCTAGACGTGACAAATGCATGGACCAGTTTTTCTGCATCATCTTTAGATCAGATGTTTCTAATGTTAGTGATATTACGCAGGTGGAAGAAGGAGGTTCTAGTAACGTTTTTAATGTGGGGGATAAAAGACATGTCCTGATCAAAAATAACACCAAGATGTTTAACATTAGAGCTGGAGGAGGCAGCCGCACCTCCGCGAGCGCCACGGGCTCGACGGGAAGAGGCACGCCCCCCGCGCGGGGAGAGATGAGTATAAGGATAAATATACAGTGTATATATTTACATATAGAGAGAGAGACGTTACATCCTCCATCCAGAGGGCTTCATCAGTCTGACGAATCCCAAGTAAAATGTAAAGTGTTTAGCAGCTGTTGCACCTTTGTGCAGCCCATCCTGCAGGATAAACTTCCTGCTGCAGCGTTCAGCTGTCACTGGAGCGGCTCGCAGCCGAGTCTGAAGCCACTAGGTTCAGGATCATCCTCTTTAAATCTGAGGCCGTGGTCTTCAGTCAGAACAGGTGGACTGGCCTTCCTTGGGTTGTCACGGAGGTTCTGCCTCAAGTGCAGCAGCTGAAGTATCTCAAGGCTGATAAGGATGGACCCTGGACGCCTCTCTAATGAGGTGTTCTGGACAGGTCCATCTGGTAGGAGACCCCAGGGAAGACCATGGACGTGCTGGAGAGACTGTCCTCCAGCTGGTCCGGAGACACCCTGGAGTCCTCTCAGAAGAGCTGGAAGCGGTGGCTGTGGAGAGGCCTGGACTTCTTTGTGATGCTGCCTCCATGACCTGAGTCCAGAACCAGATGATGGAGGGATGAAGCGCTTCGTTCCTGTTTGTTTTGTCAGGGAATCTAAAAACACGGGTAGGTGAGCAGAACTCAGTGATCCGTTTCAGAACCATGAAGCCAACAGGAAGTTCCTCGTTGGGGTTTTCCCATATTTAAATTTTTTATTTTTATATTTGTGAAAAATACACCACATTTTCTCTCATTCCGTCTTTTCAGTTTTCTGTGAACAGAATCCAGGTTCTGGCCCGGTTTTGGGTCTGATCTCACTGGAGGACTGGAGCAAGGGCGTGTAGAAGTTCTTCTAACTGTTGTTAGTCTGAAAGAAGCGAGTAAATTCAAACTGGTGTTTTCAACCGTTCACGTTGTTCTCTGTGTCATTCTTCCAGCCCAGGAATAAAACAGAACTTTGCTGTTCCTGATGAGTTCATGAAACTTCTGAGAAAACTTTTAGTTTGAACGTTGTGTTTATTTTTATAGAAACCTCTGATGACACGTTTAAACGTGAACTTTTAACCTGGTTGTAGACGGAGCAGACTCACATCACGGCACACTGAAAACTCACGACTCTAAACTTAAATACTCCTTAAATAAACGTTGTTGAGTCTGACGGCATGTAGAGGAAGAAGTGGATGAAAAGACGTAAAGACAGCTGCAGGATGCCGGGGTTAAATGGCCACGCTGTTGTCGATGCCCGTGGGACAAAGGTACGGATACGACGACTCCAGATGGTTGTTGCGTTCTGTGATGTCATCAGAAATGGCCCTGAGGTCGGCCTGCACACGGTCCACGAGCCTGCGGTGGGCGTCCTGCGTGAAGATGGCCTCCTTGTAGTGACACAGAGGAACCTGTAGAAGAACAGCCAAGTTAGTAAAAATGAAAAGTTAATTTCCTCAGTAAACTGGTCTGAACTGACGTTTGTGGTTAAAGTCAGACCTGCCTGAAGCTGCGGAGGATACAAAGAAAAACAACTGAGATATTCTGATGATCAGTGATCCAGAGGAAACTGGAGCCAGAAGGTCTAAAACACGTTCATGTGAGGAGATGGTGTTTGTCCCAGAGATCCAGATCACTGGGCCCACTGAGCTGCGTGACACCAGAACTATGACTCGAACATAAACTGGACAAATTGCATTTCTTGTGAAAATGCAAAGTGAAGGATTTTTACTGAAGAACTTGCTGAAAACAGCTGAAATTAGCTAAAATAAAAACATGCTGAAATGTAGCTGAAAGGGAAGAACAAGCCTAATGTAGCAGAAGAAAGCAGAAAGAACATGTATTTGCTGAATTAAGTTTAAATTAGCAGAAATTAGCACTAAAATTATGAATTAGCTAAAAAAGCTGAAATTAGCAGAAATAAGTTGGAAGAAGCACAAAAATATTGTAGTTAGCAGAAATAATCTAAAAGGAGCACAAAACAGCTGAAAAAACAACTGAAAGTAGCTGAAAAAAGTTTAAATTTGCAGCGAGAAGCTGAAAGAAGCTGAAAGAAGCTGAAAGAAGCTGAAAGCAGCTGAAGCAGAGCAAAATGTGAAAGGAGCAGTAAAAGGTTGTAAACAGAGCTAAAGATCTGAAGGATGGAGAATGAGCTCAATTCATTTTGCACTGGTTACCAGTTCACTTTTGAATCCAGTTCAAAATACTCATGTATGTCTACAAATCACTGAACAGTGTCAGCCCCCCCCCCCCCCCCCCCC